GGAGCCAGGTTCAGAGGAATGAGGTCTGCTGGTTACTATGAAGAGGGCTGCAATCCAAAGAAATAGCTGGCAAAATACATCACAGTTTATCAAGGGAGAGTTTCACACTGTGTGACTAAAATAACTCCATGAGCAGTGAGAGTGAACAGCACTGTAGATTCATAAAATTATATCCATGACTCAGCGGCATGCCGTGGACTTTTGAGTCAATTACTTCTTACCCTCTAACAAAGCACTTGTTGAACTTTCTCCTGAGACAACATACACTATGCTGTTTCTCCACAGTGGTCCATTTTTATCTGCACACGCCAACACCACCTTCAGCCTTGTCTCTAAACTGACCCTTCTCTCCGTTCCTCCCCCTAAACCGACACCAGGGACCTCAATCCTGACTGGGCCTGTCACTTCCAGACTGGGCTCTGTGTCTGAGATCCAGGGCCTGGCACTCTGAGGCCACAGCTGCAGACTACTGCTGCCCCTTCAGAGCACTGCACCATCACTGATCTGTCAGTGCAGATTAGCGCTTTGCTCACAGGAGGAGTGAACATGAATGGCTGAAAGGAAGAGGTAATGGTGAGAAGGTGAGACAGGACAGGAGACAGCTGGAGGAGACAAGATGAGAAGGGTGGCCATCTTGAGTGCTTCAGCCCACAGGGTAGCATGAGTCATACTCACCTTATTCAATACCACACATACAATTCTGTCTCTCCACAGCCCTCGCCCTCTAAATGTTTACTTCCCAGAAAGATCATGGCAGCCCTAGTTCATTCTGTGAGTGACAGATGGTAGTGTAAAATATATTTAAAACTGCAGACAGTTGTGACAGTTTAAGACTCTGAATCCAAAACCACAGGGGTTAGACTCTATAATTTGTGTTTTTAGTTGATTATCAGTCATCTAGTCACATGAAATCTGAAAGTCCTAATGTCATTAGTGGGGTGTTTACATCACAGTAATCAATCCAGGGTGTCTGCTTTCAAGCTAAATGAATCCCATTAAGCCACTTTAGAGAAGAGCTGTCAAACATGGTGTGGTGTTTTGAGTACTTTAACCTCCTGAGGCCCTGCTTCTGCATTTGGGGACATTGCATTTATTTTGCTGAATTTAGACCTGTTGTCCTCATTTGTACTGTAAATAATGGGCCTAATATTCCACCCATTCATCCTTCCATTTTCCTCCACTGGCCCTAATATTTATTAAGAATATCCAGAGGTCTCATGCATGGTTAGTTGACTCTGGCTTACTTCAAATGCTATAAATTTTATGGCCATTCGGAGCCTCTGGGGCAACATTAAAAAAATAGGGTCCTGTATTTTTAATCACTGTTGAACAACAATGGAGGGCTGTGGCAAAGACAAATAAGCTAATACAGGACTGACAGATATTAACCATGAGTACAGGAAAATATAGAAATATAAAAATGACTGGCCCTATCTTTTAAAGGACTGTGACTAAGGTGAGAAAGGGAGAGATGGCCAACTAGAGGATGGCAGTGTCCTAGCCGAGTTTAAAATACACATTCATTCCTCAGACAAGTAACTGTGGATTAGTGTAATAAACAGGGATGGGACAATATGACTTTTTCTTGATATGATTCAATCACGATACAATTAAAAATTCAATGACAACAATGAATGACTAGATGCTGCATACTTGTACTGGCGGTATATGGAGACCACATGACGTACAGTATCACTAGACAAAATGATACATTTTGTGACTTTTTTGTATCGCGATATATTGAATTGGGATATATTGTCCCATCCCTAATAATATCTATGTCAAATTGATTTAAGTGAATGCTTGGGAGGGAGGCCTGAAAGGACTGAAACAGGAACTGTCACAGTTTTGTGTTGAGACAAAGTTATGATGCATAGTGCCAAAAATGATTACAAAACTGGAACTAGAGTCGGTGTCAGCACTGATGATGATATCTCTGGGATGTACAACAACCAAATCACATTTTCCTCAAATACACCACTCACAGTTGTGGTAACGTGATTATCCTAATGTCTGCATGTTCACTCTGGTTTTGTTTGGCTCAGTTACAGGACAGTATTAAATGTCACTCCACCATAGTATGGTTTGCGATTGTTTGTGTGAGCTTGGCTTTGTTGCTTGTTTTACAAGGGATTATCAGTTTTCAAGCATCTCTGCCCAGTTATAACTACGAGGTGATTCAGTAGTGCTTCCCTGTGGTGCAGGTACAGCTATGCATCAATGGCACTGAAAAATATTGAATTCCCTCTGGAAATAAGGAGCCTGATGCATTACATTATGTGTACCTGCATATTCTTAGATGCGCTATGCTTTCATAGTGTTCCTGTGATCTATCTTTTTTTTTATCGCTAGTGTGTTTTATTTCATTCTATGTTCATAGTCCTTCACCTTGGAAATGCTCATGTAACCCTATTGTTACACTGCTATCTAGCAGAGTACCAAACAGCTTAAGTTCAGTTTTGAGGTACTGGCAATTTACACAAAGTTTGTTTTCTCCAGTTTTAGAACTATAACTATTAAACTCTGTTTTGCATTGAAATATTGTACTTTTATCACTATATCTGCAGTATACTGTATTTGCACATAGAAACATGAAGGCAAAATGACCAAATGAATTTGATGTATTTTTAGATTACTATATTATGTATCAGTGATAAAACAATCAGACAGGGGTGGAAGAAGTACTCAGATCCTTTACAACAGTGTAAAAACACCTTGTTACAAATAAAGTTCTGCATTTAAAATGTTACTTAAGTAAAAGCACAAAAGTATTAGCATCAATACTTAAAGTCCATCCATCCATCCATCCATTTTCTAAACCACTTAGTCAAAAACGGGGTCACGGGGGGCTGGAGCCAATCCCAGCTAGCTGCGGGCGAGAGGCGAATACTTAAAGTATTAAAGTAAAAGTTCTCGTTATGCAGAATGGCACATTTCACATTCCTGTATATCATAGTATTGTATTATAGTTACTGATGCATTATTGCGTACATAACATTTAATGTTGAAGCTGGTTTTAATGAGCTTATATGCATTTAATTTAAATATCTGCTGGGTAGCTTGTGAATTTTCTACCACAGATCAATGAGGTCTTTTACTGTATTTTTTGTATTAATCTGGTTATGAAAGGTAACTAGTAACTAAAGTTACAAAGTAAATGTAGCAGAGGCGGAAGTACAATATTTGCCTCTACGTCCTACAACCTACAGCCACTTGGATCACCAACAACAATAATGGTGCAGGGAACTACTGAGAGATAAACAAACTGACTGAATGACATTCATAATTTAGTTGTTTTTACTCAAGCAAAGAAACTGAAAACTTCTGCCAGTATTTCAATGCCTCGATGGGGCTTTGACAATCATATCAGCGAGTTTCATGTGGAAAGTGTGGATGGATGAAATGAACAGGCCTACGGAGCACAGGCCCAGGAGCCCAAGGAATCAGGGGCTCACTCTGTGATTCTTGCTCCTATAAGTGTAGGAGAAATGGTAAATGGTAAATGGACTGTATTTTATATAGCGCTTTCTCACAGTGTGTTGCACTGGCCAAAGCACTTTACAGGAGATCATACACCATTCACCCATTCACACACAACATTCACACACCGATGAGAAGTGACGGCCTTTTACATATCTGCGCCTGGGAGCCCACTGTCCAGTCATAATCTGTCCATGGTGGGAAGACTGGAAAAGATACTGGTGACTGGCTAGACCTCTACAGGTACGGAGGAGAGAGACACTTGAGCTGGCGTGACCCTAATGTTTGAAGAGTGAGGTTCCCTGGCAGTGGCCCCACTGTGTCTGAAAGCTGGCTGATCATATCAGAGACTTCCCAGCTCACCTCTGGTCCTTCTCCAGCTGTCTCCTGCTCACAGACAGGATGTTGTAAGATATGGGATGACTGGGGCTCAGGAAGTAAAGCAGGTCTTCCCCTCATCGCAGGGCTGGCAGTTAAATCCCCTGGCTCTCCATTCCACATGTCGAAGTTGGGCGACTCTTCTGCCACTGGTGTGTGCGTGCGTTTGTGTGGGTGAATGAGAGGCAAATATTGTAAAGCATTTTGAGTGCTACAATAGCAAAGTAAGTGCAGTCCATTTGCCATTACGGGATGGTTTTTTGCAGTAAGTGGCATGTGGCATGCCATGGTAGTTATAATCAAGTTACAGCATGTCACCTTAAATAAACATCCCAGAATGCTGGTGAGCTTAATGGTCTATTTGTGCTTACTGGTTCTTTGTTTACCTTTATCTTCTCTTCCTCCACCTGTTATCAGCTGACTGGGGCCCTGATAATGGCTCACACATCAACATGACATTAAGGTTCAAGACATTTCAAATCTCACTTCATTACAAGCTGTTCTCCCCTTGCAGCCAGGATTGGCGAATAATCAACAAGTATAGAAACAGATGCTCAGTACTGTATGGTGTTTAGTGGGATGGCACCAAGGTCAGATGAAAATGTATAACATGACGCCTGTTTGAGCAAAAGTCAAGCAACATTATTTCCACCAGTCTGTCCCACTCCTCTCTTCCCTGACAGACAGTTCACTTCAGGACAAGCAGTGTGTTTAAAATGTGTCAATATCTAATTACTGCAATCTTACAATCATGTTCGAGGAACAGAAGAAAATTTGAGTTCTCAGTGCATTTTCAATGTGCTAAACTCACCAGAATTAGCCAGCTGCAGGTGTTGGCACCTCACAACAATAGCAATAACACTCTAGGGTAGGAAACCTAACAAAACTTATTGTCCTCTCATAACATTTACTGAGTTTCTTTGATGTGCAAAAAAGTGCAGCAAACCAGGATGTGCATGGAGAAATCCACCAGTATCCAAGAAACACGTGGTCGTTTCTGTCATTAAGTAGTTTCTATTAGCAGAGAATTTCAAACTGCGGGATCACAGTTGTTGGAGCTTGTGTAGGCTATATCCTGTTCTGTGCCACCCCACAGTGCCAAAGCCAGGCGCCATGCACTAGACATTTAAAGGGCACTTTACCTGGTAGCTCAGTACGATCTCGGGGTCGTTGACGGGCATGCTCGGTGGCCTTGGAGACAATCTGCTCCTCGGTGTTCACGGAGTGTAAAGGTGAGACTTTCGCAGCGGGGCTTATGCCTCGCTATGCTGTGTGAGGACGGTTTGAAGAAGCACTTACGACTTGGTAACAGCCGCTACTTCTGTGACTGGAGACATTTTGAGGCAAACATCTCTTCCAGATTAAAACAAACGATGAAAAGGATACTACTGTGCTGTGTTTTATGACGATTTCTCGGCCGCGCTTCCAGCTCCCGTCCCTGCTGTCCTGTCTGTAGAAGCAGGATGCAGAGAGCATCACTGCAGCCTCAGCCAATTAGAGCGCAGAGGTGCACGACGGGCTGCGACGCACTGCTGCTACCCAACACAAGACAGCCGTGAATTATAGCCTATAAACTTACAGACACTTCGCGCTTTTACATTAAGATTACTGAAATGCAACGCAATTACACCCTGCATCAAGCCGGTACAATTAAATAAATACCAGAATATATATGGAAAAATGTCATAATCCAAATAAAACTTGTTTTCCTCTAAACTCCATTGTCAGAAAAACTAGATCATTCACTGTACAGTGCCTTCATTGAAAAATGTTGAATTACAAATAAAAATTTTCATGAATAAAAATGCTTGCACTAAAGTATAACCTGCTAAATATGGTTAAATTAGCTCTTACATATAAACCATAGCATTATTACCATTGATTCATTAATGGGTTATAAATAGCCCAACACTGGAGCTGAAACAGAACGTACCTACTTACCAAATAGTTAGAATTTAAGTCTTAATATAGTGCTTGGGGTATAGGCTAACAGCGCATCAATGTCATATGAAAAGCAGTAAAAAGCGCTGAATGTCCCTTTGACATTTACTGTAGTGATATGTGCATAAAGCAGAACAAAATGGAAACATCATACCCCATAAATGATCAAACAAGACATGAGATGGCTACATAAAGTCTTAAGTAGCTAAACATGAAGGTAAAACTGAATAGTGAGCACATAAAAGAGGAGGAAGAAGGAAGAGGAAATGAGGGCAGTGACATTATGAATCTGATTGATCCTGTACAACGTTAGAACATATTAAAGCCCTGGATGCCACCTTGTGGGGGGCAAAAGAATTGCGCAGAGGTATATGTTAAAATGGCGTGTGCGCCTTTCCAACAGAGTGGCCAATTAGCGCATGTTCCTTATTTAAGATGCAGAATTGGCACTCAGCATTTTTAACCACTGCAGATGGTCTCCTACATTTATAAGAAAGTAAAACAATAGTAAGATAACCAACAAATCACAAGCAGTGTTTTGTTCCACATTGTGAAAGCGTTGGGATTACATGAGACTGTCCAGCTGCGACATTGTCACTTTATTGGATTTAGCTCAGCAGGTTGACCCTCATCAACCACCTGTTCTCTAGCCTACAGAGTACTGAGCTCAGATTGCAGTACGATTGGTCTACACAAACGGCGTGTCATTGTGTCGCAGGCAGTTTAATGGTTCTTGTGACATAACTTACATCGCTACTGATAGCGTCAGATCCACTTTCCTCAACGCACGGTGGTAGATTTGTCATCCACCTGCACGGCGTCCTGTTTCTCCTGGGTGCGGTTGTTATGGCAGCTGTAAACATTATGTGGGAGCATGCACGGTTGATATGGAAACTGCATAAAGGAAACAGGACGGAGTGTGTCTGAGTGGTCAGGTCATCGGGGAAGTGACAGCATTTGTTATTATATTAATACCTGACGCTCTAGGTGACGCTCTGTTAAACGTCACCTGTTTCAGTTTGAGATGCGTTTTAACAGCCGTTTTAAACAGCTGTCACAGGTGTCAGAGAGTGTAAGTTGAACTCCATAGTTGGTGTTATCTCGGATATACTCTAGGTCGGTTTCTAAGTATACACTTGTCAGCTTTGCCCATGCATAGACCATGTACCATGTCTGTGTGTGACGGCGTGCGCCTTTTTGCGCATGGATGTCAGTGAGAAGCAATGACTCACTCCGCTCTGTACAGATTTAGATGCCTGTTTGACCCGATTTACATGCTTCCTCAGATGCTACAGAGACAAAGTAGCGAGGTGCCATCCTATTTATGGCTTTCTCTTTGTTTCTGGGCTGCCGAGAGAACCAGTTCTACTTTATAGTTCGTCTATAGTTAAATGGTTTATTTAGAAATTGGATGAAGACATCTGTAGATTCTGCGTGCATTTATCGGTCTGAATATGATCTTATGATTCATTTTAATAAACCTTTTATAATAGTATATTCTACAACGTGAAGATCTGAAAACAGTCCAGCTGAACGTTGCTCGGTAAACAAGAGAACCTAAAAGTAACATGCAACAAATGCCAGGTAAGTAAATACACGCACATGCATCTGCGCACTCAGTTAATCTATACTGAAATTTGACGTAATTTGCCTCAGTGTTACAAGTGGCTCCAGTGGAAGGGAGGGTACGTCGCACTGTGCCCAGCCTGCCAACAATCAAGCCAGACAGGCTGAAAACAGCCCGAGCGCTGGTGCAGAAAGCAGTCAAGGTGATCACATGCACAAACCAGATTTCACGGCATCGCCTCCATAGTATCCCCTGTCCTCCTGGGAATAAACCTAAAAGTCTTCTAAATCTCCTTTGCCATTCTCTATCAGTTGAAGAAAGTGTTTTCAGTGCAGGGACCCTACCCTGTGATCCGTGCTGCCTTGTGGGCCAGAGGGTGGGTGGAACGTCGATTGCCCCATCCGGTCCAGAGACCACCTCATTGCCATGGTGATGATGAGGAGGATGGTGATGTCAGCGCTGATGTTTTTGGTGAGACAAAGAATTTGGAAAAGCAAAGTCCTAAGAATTCAATCGTACATTTATTTTGAGAAAACTAAATCCAGTGTTCACTGCAGTAGCATGCTGGAATAAAGCTGTAGGAGAAAAGATTATTTAAATGACTAAAATACTGAGACGATGATGGGTGACCTCACATACAGGATCACTAACAAACTACTACTTTAATCATAAAAATATGTTTCATATAATTTTACAATAAACTTGTTTTCAGTCATACATATTTGTCTGCTAGTTCTTCATGATTTAAAGTTTGTCTACAAGAGAGGTCAGTGATGTTTACCCGTAATTTCCAGAGCTAAAATTGTAGGGAGGTCAATGTATGTGGTATGTAATCAGAGCACTACTTTAGATGGACAGATGAATAACCCTATCCCTGATAAATGATACATTGTGTACCACATTACAGGCACCAACCTATAACACAGACCCCTACTCTTTTAATGTACCACGGTACACATTTTAAACCTGTGCGTACACACACACACACACACACACACACTTTATTTATCTGTCTACAGAGAGAATGGATGAGGGCAAGAAAGAGGAGAACCTTGATGGGATGTATGACCTCATGGTAAGATCACATTCAAGTGAGCCAACTAACTCATCATTGAAATCTTGTAGAATCTGGAAGCAACTGAATGTGTGCACTTCCATAGTGCTGCACCTTCAGGCTTGGTCAGCTTTGCTAATTTAACTTTGCCTTAATTTTTTCAAGTATCGCCTGGTTTGAAATGAAACTATATATTTCTACTGGACAACACGACGGGATTCCATAGACTGTCGCTCCCTACAGAATGACCAAATGACCAATCACTATGCGAATGCTGGAACATTTACCACCAAGGTCTCTAAAGAGCTGCTATTGATTGGCAACAATGCAAGTTGCTCACATTTGGCCATAGGTCCACCAAGACTCCTTGTCTCCTCCTGTGTCTCCATTTCTTCCAGGTGGGGCTCTGTGTGAACCTGCGCAACCTTCAGTGGTTTGATACAACAGATCCTGATACCTTTTTCCCAAGATGCTACAGGCTTGGGGCAGAGGATGAGAAGCACGCATTCATAGGTCTGCTCTATAGCTCCATTAGTACTCACTGCCAAAAAGCAGTATCAAAGGTGCAAGGTTTAAATTGTTGGACTGAAGCAGTTCTGCGTGTTCTTTTATGAAGAATGCTCAAAGACTAATCTGTCTTTTGAGATATTTATTACAATCAATATTTAAGAAAAGCAATTACAGAGCTCTGGGTTCCGTTTCTATCTGAGGCCCTGATTCTAAACAGCAGAACCGTTCGGCTTGCCTTCAGAGCAAGGGAACGCCTATACTCCTGAACCCAGTCCAATTATACAGTTTTTCAAATATGCAAATGATGGTAGATCTGACGTCCTCCGCGTTGTCCTTCATCCTCGCTCCTTGGTTGGTTAGTTAACCTCGTTCTGACCCCTCATTTGGTGATCTTGTCGCCAGGCAGATTTTAATCTGTGAAATTCTGAGAACACATCCTGACCTTTCAATGCCCGAAGCTCAGACAGTTTTTAGAGAAGGCCCCCTTACTCACTTCCCCTGAGATTGTAACTCCAGGAGTGCCATCTGTCTCTCTGAATATGCTGGGGGTTAATTGCAGAAAGACGGTAGAATCCCAGCAGACGACAAAAAAGGGAAGTTGGTGCAGTTGCTGATAACCATTTCACTTGTCTTGAAGAGTGGAGGAAACTTGCAAAATGTAACATGAAGAAACTCACTTGCCTTTTCTGTCTGCTGTGCTCTTGCCCGCTTGTTTTGCCTAAATGAAGAGGACTTCAGGAGGACAGCTTGCACCAGCCTGCTGCAACATGTGGTGGAGATGAGTCGACAGCAGAGAGAGGGAGCAGAGGCTGAGAGAAAAAAAGGAAAAAACTGCATCTCTGATGGTAAAATACGCTGAAAAAATAAGTAAAAATGCATGCTATGTGAGGATATGAGGTGCAGGACAAGAGGTATGTAACAAATTCTACTGTTACAATTGTGTCTCTCCACAGAGACGAATAATGTAGGCCATTGGTTCGTTGGTCCAGAAATGATCACCACAGCTTTACGCGTGTGTCAAGAGTTTCTCAGTGTTTTAGAGCATGGTGACATTGATGTGGAAACAGTCCCCTCAGTGGCGGAACAGCAGTGGGCAGAGTTTCTGCAAGAGTACTACATGGTTGTGCAGTGAGTATGGTCCAGGATCAGCACTGACAGTGCACTCAGCCCATCTTAATATAGGTCATTGATTAAAAACAGTAAAATTTAGTTCCATAAGGTTGTTTACAATACCGTTGCCAGTTTATTTGGTACATCCTGCTAAAACTACTGCAGTCTAATCCAACTGTCCTGCAATAAATTCTCCATGATGGTGATAATGTTCAGTTTATGTAGGATGTAGGAGGATGTAGTTTGTTGAACTGTACTGCACTATACAAAGAATTGTTTCTGCAATTTAGCCTAGCCTCAATGATATGCATGGGGTGGACAACATAATAGAAACACTTGTTGGTTTGATGCAGTACACTGTAACTCAACAACACCACAAACTACGGTACACTTTGCAAAATGACAATACAGTTGAACCAACATCTCTAAAATGAAACATTATCACAGACCTGAAGGGAGGATTTATTGCAGGACTGCTGCATTAGGCTGAATTAGTTTTGTAATAAACTGCCAACTGAGTGTATATTAACACATAATATACTGTATACATGACACTGCATGCTAATATTTATAGTACAGTATGTTGGCAGTTGGTATACAAGAAATCGATGCAGCCTGCAGTGCCATATGGAAACAGGCATCACTGAGCTGCAGCTTCACAACAACTCTCCACTTAAAACCAGGGGGATGTCTTTCCTTTTCATTTCATCACTTTTCCATTAACACCACACTTAGAAATTAATTTATTTTAACATTCATTAGCTGATATTCCTAAAACATTTAACTCAATATTTTCCTGGTGGGGAAACACATTATTGTACTCCCATAATTACTGTAATGTCTACAACTGGGACACAGTTATTTTCTGTAAAGATGCAGCAAAGGTAGAGAGGTATCAAAACTGTCCAAATCAAGTAACATTATAATATCTGATAACCAGCATAATTATTGTCTGGAGTAAAGCACAACAATATGATTTGATGCATCTGTAAATTAGTGAACTCAACCTGTCACTCTAATAAAATGTTTGTATGTAGTGAGGGTGCATTGATCAGGGGTAGCAGTGTATTTGTGGAGCGCTGCCAAGCTATGTAAACCAGGCTGCAGGAGGTTAGCCCGCAGCTGGATACAGATGGACTAAATAACATCTGGATCATTAAACCAGGTGCCAAGTCAAGAGGACAAGGTGAGGCCTTTTTCTCAACCACACAACAATCACCTGGTACTGTTATATATATTAATGTTTTATTTCCTCTTTATTCAAGCTGCACGGTACTGAAACATGAAAAAAAAATGCTGTTACTGTTTTGTTCTAACATGGTGCTAACATCAACATTAGATGTTGATTTTAGCCTACTGGTACTTTGATTGGAAGGTCCATCTGATACTCTGTGTTCTCTTGTTGTTGCCCACTGATATTGTTTGCTCCTGATAATGCGGTTTTGTTTTTGTGTTTCCATGTCACACCAACCACCACCATGCAGGCATTGTTTGTATGAACCACTTGGAAAAGATTTTGGCACTTGTGGATGCTGACAGACCCCTGGCTAAAGAGAGTAAGTGGGTGGTTCAGAAATACCTGGAGTGTTCTCTTTTGGTCCACGGCACCAAGTTTGACCTCCGCCAGTGGTTCCTCGTCACCGACTGGAACCCTCTGACTGTGTGGTTCTACAGACAGTGCTACCTGTGGTTCTCCACTCAGCCCTACTCAACAAAAATTCTGGACAGGTCAGAATGGCTCAAACAAACAGGATCAAACTTTTACTATAATGTAGGAATTTATGGAAGCATTGATTTAGCACTGTAAGTCAAACTAAATGAACCTTATTTTATTCAAAGGATATTTTACACTTGCTTTCATTACCTTTTTAATTGTTTCTCTCAGTGCAGTCCACCTGTGCAACAACTCCATCCAGAAGCACTTCCAGCCATCTCAGGATCGCCATCCAGGTGTACCTGAGGACAATATGTGGTCCTGCTCTGAGTTTAGGGCTTTCCTGCAGCGGCAGGGCTGTGAAGCAAAATGGGAGTCAGTTGTGGTCCAAGGCATGCAGCAAGCAGTGGTTCATGCACTACACAGACAGCCCAGGACCTAGTTGAGCCCCACAAGGCAAGCTTTGAGCTCTACGGAGCCGACTTTATGTTGGGCAGAGATCTGAGGCCTTGTCTCCTGGAGGTCAATGCCAGTCCGACTATGGCCTCTTCCACGACTGTGACCGCCCGCCTCTGCCCTGCTGTGCAGCTGGACACACTGAGGGTTGTGCTGGACTGGCGGACTGACCCTAGTGCTTACACAGGAAGCTTCCAGCTAATCTACAGACAGGTGGGAATATCTCATGAGGCAATAGATGTTTATTTTCAGGGACCATCACTGAACAATAGATGCTACACCAAATACATTTATATGTTATTTACTTTGTCACCCTGTCAGGCTGCAGTTGAAGTTCCTCAGTATCTGGGAGTGAACCTGCTGGTGGAAGGAGCCCCCATAAGTCAACTGAGACCTCTGCTTCATAGGGAAACAGCTATTTCAAACACACCACTTACTATCCAGTTTCCCTCAGACCAGTCATCTCCAGAGGTTGCTAACACAACACATAAACTATCAAATCAGAAGCTCAGTGTGATTGCTGGTCTTTGTCATTCAGGCAAAGAGAACCAAGCTGCTGGAAAGAAAACAAGACAGCTGACATCAAAATCTCCAAATAGGGAACATGAAGGGAGAACAGAGGTTCAGAATGCTTCCTGTATTCACAGGACCTGCTGCAGTCAAGTGTCTGAACAGCCTTTGGTGAGACACATTGAACCTCAGAGGAAAGTGCAAGGTTTGAGTTTGAGTCTTGGTGCCAGTGTTGCAATTCTGTATCCACAGAGTCTCTCCTTTTCCCTCAGCCCCCCTAACAGCATGTCAGATTGTAAAACTCAGCCCAGTCCAGGCCATGGATCACATATCTCCAGATCCTTCCTTCATCCCACAACCTTTGAGCCACAACACAGGGCCTCAACATGGGTCTTTCCTTCACTCCAGGGTCTCCTCCCTAGCATGGACACTAAAATTAGGAAGCAAAGCAGTAGGAAGTGCAGAGGAGGTTTTATCAGCAACAACATTATTAATTTATAGTATTTCATTCATCGGAGCCAAGTGCACACATACCATGAATGTTGTTCTGAAGCTAATTTGCATTAAAGCAAACCAAAACAACTCAAACAAATTGTGTAGTAGATATTCAAAGCAGACTGGACAGAAAATCACATGGTGAAATATTAACTAGTTTCCATTTTTGAGGACAAATAATTGCCTTTAAACTGATGTTGCTGACAGGATGTAGCTGTTCCAAGTCGCCAGCAGGTGGTAATAAAGATTCAATAATCTTACAGATAGTTTACTGTTTTCCAAAGCCTTGTTGGGAGCAGGAAAAGCCCTTCTACTACATCTTGAGCAACATCTGTTTGATTATTTATTTCAGTCTTTTTATAAATATGATGTCAAAGTGCAACAGAGCCGAATGAAGCAGAGTTTCATCAACAGACCTTTCCTGAATGATGTACATAGACACCAGTACACATTTAATTGCCACAGTTTGCACAGTAAATTTAATTTACTGTTCAAAAATATAAAAAAAATAGAATGTATTTTAAGGTGTTGGACCTAAAACAGAGAAAACACAACACTCCTAATGGTCAGAAATGATAGAGGAAACAACATATGACTCAAGAGTTAGTGATGCTGAGCGCTGTAGTAGCATTTGTTGTGATTTATGCACAGTCTAGTGTTGGGAGTATACGTGTAGAGAGATGTCACAATTATGCAATAATATAATTTACTATTGAATCAGTCAGTCCATAAGAAACACGGGAATGTTTCCCTGCCAGGTTGTTGAAGAGCAGCAGATGGATCCTGACTGTTGCCTGAGGAAATGAACTGAGAGTGTTTACGTTCACATGCATTTTAGTGCGCACAGACAGTTCAGCAGCAGGAGAGTCAAGCTACAGATCTGCCACTACATAAGCGCTCCCTGTGACACAAAAGTTGTAAAAGAACAGAATCCGAGCCGATTACATTTCATTACTAGATGTTTTGTAACACGCTCTCCTTCTCTTTCACCCACATACACTCAAAGCAAATTTCCACAGGAAAAAAATACTTTATTAATACATTTATATAACGTACATCAACAAAATATGTACATCAAACATCTTTCATGTAGGTCCCAAAATATAAAATCTCAAGTACCTCTTTCTATAGAAAACTAGTCTTCTGGGAAAATGTTTACATTCACTTCTCTCCTCCTCACTCCTTTGTCTCCAGTATTCACTCGCAGGACAGAGAATAAACGTCTGAGATTTATCAGTTTTTCACAAGTAAAAGGCAACAGCAAGAACAAACACCAGGTTTGACTTGAGCAGAAACAGATGTAGAGTATGCAGACCAGGCCCAGCACAGTGCTATAGTATGTACACAGTTTCCAAATATACGACGTACAATTGTGCACTCTGCCCTTCTATCTCCAGCCGACCAGAGTGCAGGAACAGGTATCAAAAATAGAAATATACAAGACATCTATGAACAATAATTACAGAAAATCCATCTCAACTATCGCTGAAAAATATTTCTCATTCAGTGTGGTCAAGTGGTGGCCTGTTCCTTCATCCACGCATTGGGTGTACCTTTATTCTCATCTGTATACACTAGAGGTAACCCTTGTGTTTTATTATGGCAGTCAACATAGTGCCTAGTTTAAGGGGCATTTGCAATGGTTATTGCAGCGACAAACTTTGGGTGAAACATTAGAGCTAACATTTGGTACAACAATTTTGAGAGTACAAAGATGTCGTGTCTCTGTCGCGACAGCTACAGGTTAGATGCGTCAGCATCATTGGCGATTATTCTTCAACAGCTGCATCTTTCGTTACATTCAGCCAAGCGCTGTGTGTGCAGGGCAGGTTCAGTTTATTTGATACATTTGCACTGAGTATTAAACATTCAACCAGAGCTATTGTACTGAGTATTAAACATTCAACCAGAGCTCTGCATCCCCCACCCACCTCTCCTTGATCTTTTCTGTAAGTCCTCACATTTGCTGTTTGACCACCAGGCTGAGGAACAGAGGAGAGGAATGAGGATGGATCATGGAATGGCTCAGTCATCTTCTCCCTCCGGCTACTCTGGTCTTAGGTACTTGAAGAGGATTATCTTCACCTTTTGTCTGATCCTTCAGTCTTTGGTTTCCAGGTTAAGGGGTGGTACCTGCTTGAGTGCCTGAAGGAGGGCAGGGGAGTCCATTGGGGTCTGAGATATGGCTGGAGCTGGAGAGCCTCCCTTGGGAGACAACACTAGCTGAGGTGCAGGCGGTCTTTCGTTGGGCATGGCGGGTGTGGAGCCTCCCATGCCAGGGCAGAGCATGGGAACAGCCCCGGGGTACCAGCATTTTTCCAGCATTGGCAGGTAGGCTGCAGCAGAGGGTGGGATGAGGTAGAAAGGCATGCAGAGGGGATGTGGAGGAGGTGGATGGGTGGGGGATACACTCATGTAACTACCGTAGCCGCTAGAGGACGGTGAAGATGACAACTCTCCACCTGACAGCAGCTCGTCCTCAGATGACTCCACGCGGGGTCGTTTGTGCCGTGGCTCGTCATCCTCCTGCTTGATGCCGGAGCTCTGCCTCTCACACAGCGCTCGTTTCAGCTGGCTCTCCTGAGCATAGTAATCTGGACGTCCCTGTGGTGCCCCAGATTCATTCTTCTCCAGCTCTCCTCCATAGCCGCTGTCTGTATCTGTATCACTGCCGCTCTGCTCACCACTCAGAGGAGCATACACCCGCTGGATAACAGGCACGCAGTTCCTCCCATAGCCCTCGCTGGGTTTAGGGGGAAAGCTGGTGGGCATCTCCTTGTGAGGCTGGTGCTGGACGTAGGCAGGGATTTCTTCAGGTCGGGGGCTGAGAGGGGTGCGGGGTCGGATCGGACTTTGTAGCACCTCTGCTGCTAATTTCTGAATGTGGTTGATGACATGGGATGGCGTGAAGTCTCCATCAGTCTCACAGTTGGTTAAATACTGAAGAACCTCCTTTGCACACATGTGGAAGCCAGAGTAGAACATCTCCTCTGACTTCTCCTGGCTGACAGGAGACTGCTCTGTAAACACAGCGAGAAAGCACAAAGTAAGAAATGGGGCTATCTGACACAGATGCGAGGATTTGATTAACTTCAGCTATATTAGAAATCACTTCTTTGCTTGCAACTCTGCACAATCTTGTCAGTGTGTTCATCTTGTTATATATGTATATTTGTGAATGATCTGTAGCTTACCAATTTGCATGCCATTCTGCAAAGCCAGGATCTTTTGCTGCTGCTGCTCCAGCAGAGAGGTGAGGGCTTTCACATGCTTGAGTGTAAGCTCTAAAACCACAGCCTTCTCCAGATGGCCCAAAGTCTGGAGGAGACAGGCACAGTCAGCACATCCTCCTTATATAACACATAGTGACTAAGCTATACTAGTGTGATTGGTAATCAATTTCATAAATAATATCCACTATGGTATCTTAAATTCAATTTCTTTTCAGAACAGAATGTTTAAATTCTCCATCTTAAACAACCATGACAGAAGGCATCATTTAGTATGAGCCGTCACTCACTGACCGCTGACGCACTCAGCACAGAGAATGTAATGCCACAAAACAACCACTCGATGGTGCATGTCACTCAACACACTGAGTCCCATTGTCCATCAACAGTAAGCCACTGTACCGTGAGTTTCAGGTGCTCTGGTAATAAATCTTTCAGCTGAGCGATGCACTCGTTTATCCGGTCACGCCTTTTCTTCTCAATAAGTCTGTGGGGCAGCTTGTACGTGTCCTGCAAGAATAAACAGAGCTGTTGGGGTAATTCTGCTGAACAGACAGCGCACGATATGATCATGAGACGACA